GAAAGATGCTAGGTTCCAGGAAGGTGCTAAGTGACCGTTTGCTAAGTTAATATATATCAATGACAATCAAACCGAGGGGGCTTTTCTTTATATGTTTCAATGTTTCTGTGACCTTTGTGATGGCTGCTGGTTCTTCTCTAAGAATAGTGGAGAATTCATGGTAGTTTATACTGTTGCACAGGGCAATAACAGAAGATTCTGAAAAACAAAAACCCATAAAAACAAATAAAGGAGCCACTGAGAAGACAGAGATATCAATGTGGTGGGTGGGGGGTCATATAGAGGAGGACAATATTTAGGGAACATGCAAAAGCAGAAGAGGAAGTCAGAGTAACAGAGAAGAGCAGGATGATACAAGAATTAGGTAGAGTTCGGGAAAACCATTTACTTTCACCCTCTTACTGTGTAAATGAGAAAAAATGACCCTAGAAGTAAAGTGACTTTTCAGTGCTACATAGGATTTGTTCTGTTGCAGTTGAATTAAGAGAAGTGAATAGGATGGATGCTGCTGACAAGTAGAGAAGCTGGAAGCCAGAGCTGGAGAGGAAACAAGACGCTGAGTAGGAAGCTCAGGGTTTCGGGTTTTGCATGTTTTCTTTGTTTGTGGACAGTGGCTAAAGGTGAGCTTTGTCTGTTGGAGAGAGAAGGAAGTCAGTATAGAGATAGCGTAGGGTAGGTTTGTGGAGAACAAAGATCAAAGATCAGCTTTTCTGAAAGAAAGAAAGAACACCTGCAAATGAAATGCTGTTTCTGCAACTTCTGTCGGTAGCTGTTCTCCTCCCAGGTGGTGACAATGAAGAAGGTAAGAACTCTGGAAGTTTCCCAGTTGGGTACAAGAGGGTCTGTGAATGTGTGTCTGGGCGTTTGTATGATATACCTGGATACAAGATATACCTGGAGAGTGAGAGTGCCAGGCCAGTTCCATTCTGAGTATCCTTGTCTCCAGATCGCTGTGCTCTTCTGGAAATTGTTGACAGAACATGAGTTCCTGGGGCAGGCAAATGTCTGAAGAGATAACTATGATTTTCTCCTGCTCCAGATTTTGAGTTCTCCCTCTCTGGCACCTTTCTTTCTCCATTCTATCTCCTTCTCAGTGCCTTTCTTCTCTTCACTCTATTTGTACTTTTGCCACCCATAGC